GGAACTTAAGTAAATAAAAAACATGACCTAGCAGACTGTAGAACCTGAATTAATATTACGACAAAACTAAATGCAAAATGACTGGCTACTTAGCATGGAAGAATGCTTTCAGCAGGCAGAGCTAGCTAAAATTAGAAGAAGAAAATCAAGCAGACTTGACAACAGGAGCATACAGACCTTCGTCGATGTCATTGTCATCTTCGATTTAATAGAGAAATCAGAATAGTTTGAATACCATATCTTTTCTTAACCTGAATACACATATACAACGGATGTTTGTCAGTTCCAAAACCTAGCCAAAACTGAAGTTATGCGTGGCCATGATCCATTCAAAGTTGATTTTGTACAGGGGGCAATGGATTTCTAAGTTGATTTGCAAGGAAAATTGATGTAATTATGTGCCAATAGGATACATTCAGAGTGCTAGAAACCTATGGAGAGGAAAAGCAAGTACATATCTGTAGAGGTCAAGACTCAACTTGAATCTAGAATAGCAGATGTAGTTTCACCGTGATCAATTTAGACAATACTGAAATTGGCATGACTGTGATCTGCATACCAATATTAGGTCACTTCTTAGTCTGCTCACAAAATGTTGGTCAAGAGTTCCCCGTCGATCTTAAAGATACTAATCACAATCACAATTCCCTCTAGAAGTTAACTGATTATCACGAACACGCGGGGAAGAAGGTCGCAGCTAACTACGACATAGAGCTGGCATAAAAACAAGTAGGAGCTCATAATTTCCCATTACTCCTGAAAAAATTATAAAGCAAACCAAAATTAATGCTTTGTGACTGACCAACAAGAATTATAAAACAAATTCTTATACCGAAGGTGCTCTGAACGCAAATCTTTTCTTCATAAACACGGAGAAACTCTCGTGACAGAGTAAGCTTGCGACGTATAAAAAGATATTATAAGAAAGAACACCAGATAGGAGCTAACAAAATTAAGTTTAGAATATATGCTAGCAAATCAATAACCGTACAAAAATATTGTGGTCCAAATAAGATTCATATAGGCCACTAACTAAACCGATAGGAACCAAACTTTTATATTTTGACCAGTTGTTCCACATTAGTCTGGACTCTTGTTATTTCATTTATCCAAATTAAGACTGTCATTATCTAAATTGAATATGCTTAAAGCCTCTATCTGATTTAGCCAAAGCAGGAGAGCATCTAATATAACAAAATAGCAGGGCGAGGTGTTTTTATAATCATCATAGGACTTAAAAGTATCAATGACATACAACCCAAAACACAAAATTAGATGGCAAAACATGCATGGACAGAACTCTTCAGCAAAATAATATACGTCTATTCAAAGCTATATGTTTCCAGATTATTTAGGATTATTTTAACTGCTTTGACATTCCCCCCTCCTCAATTAGAGGTACAAGTCATAGGATTCGGTGTACTGAATTGATACTTTGCACATATATAGTACATCTTTGTATGTACTTTACAGAAGTACCTCGTGGGCCCCTATTACCAAGACCGGTAAGAAAATTGTGCAGCTATGAGATGGTTAATTTGATTATGTTGTAGACTAATTTTATACAGTGTACACGGAGTTCCCAGAACAATAAAAATAGAGAAAGTAGCTAAGCTCAGGTGCACATGGACCCCCAAAACCATATCACCGTCTCAAATCAACCAGAGTAATAGACATCTACTTTGGATAAACTATAGCCAAGTTGCATTGGATACAGACGCTATATCATACTTCTTAATACAATGAACATTTGACAAGCAACTAAATTCTAACAACCAATATGAATCAGTGACATGGTACAAATAACAGGTTGGTCCATATATACAGACCTGCAATTGTACTGTTGTAGACGTAGGAGGTAGCGACATAAGCACAATCTGATTTGTGTTTCGTCCCTGAATTAGATGATTCACTCCAGCACTCGATTTTTTTTCCTTGAACACGAAAAGAAGGAAAAAAGAGTATTAGAAACCAGCATACGTGGGCCTAAAAAGAGCATTAGAAATGGAAAAAAGAGTATTAGAATAATTTTCCTAAAAAAATTTGCAGGTTGCATTGGAAGAGAGACACGGTATATCCCACGTTGCAATGAACAATTGAACAAGATTCAGGAAAAGGCCAAGACAAAGTTGGAAGTAAATTTGATCCTAAGAAAGCATCCACATCTTGAAGCCATAATGGGGCGCCACCGCGCCAGCGTATAATGTAGGCCAATATGAAAAGAAGATTCATCCTGAAGCCATAATGGGGCACCAGCATACAACAAGACACATGAAGTAAACCTAATTGTAAGAGCAAGCTTGCACAACCATCTGTCCAACAATCCCCTTCCTTAGAACCTACCTAGACCATATAACATGCCACAAGTGTGTACCTAATTTGGTACCACCCACCAACATTAACCTAAGGCTAAATAGTGGAGTCTGCAATTACACCAAACCTGAGATCTCTAAAATTATTTTACCCTTAATCTTGGACCAGATCCACTTAGTTTATCCAAAAAACAATTGGCAACACTTCTATTCAGTACAATAAACCTCTTCCGTGGATGAATACAGGAATATGTGTGATAATTGTGTTTCTCTAGTTAAAAGAGATCACGCTCTTTTTCTGCAGGAGGATTGCCACATGAGTTGTTTCCTTGGAGGTCGAAATTGTTATACTCCCTTCGTTCCAAATTCTAGTGCGCACTTTGTTGAGCTGCAATACCAATGCATGCGCTCGCGCATGTCCTTTGGATCATTATACCCCTCCACCAACTCTGTCCAGATCCATGTGCAAAGCGTCTCAGCCACACACACTCCCGCATGCAGAGGAGGTTGTTTCACGCCCATGTCCAGCCACACGGCTATTTTTGTCCAAACAAGTAAGTAGGAACTACAATTCAGAATATGGGCAAAAAACTTGCACACACCATAAAGTTAAGTGAAACGAGGGAGTATCAAACTGATATTTGTGTATAGAAACCAACAAGAACTATGTAAACATACTACTCACTCCGCATGCAAAAGTTTATGTATGAAAAAGCAGCAGCTGCTAGAGTACTAGCTCTTCCAACACAGTTAGACAGAGACCTTATTCGCACATTGCAGCAACACCGAACATGCAGGTCGTATCCAAAAACACATTGACAGAAACCAGCCACTAGATAGTCTTAGAGCTTCAGATATTTGTTAGTACCCTAGAGAACCATGGAGCAGACAACATAGATCCAATCTTGGAAAGTCTGCTCATATTCTACAAGCGTTGGAACAGGAAACTGACACACCTGCTGAATAACTTCTGTAGTTGCTAGAGGGCAACAATATCACACATCCTCTTACAGGCTAACACTCCAGATAAAAAGCAGCCTGCACACCACTGTTTTGAGCTTTCAGTTCATGCAACAGAAGGAATACCTGGCCTTTCTTATCATGCAATTAACAGAACAAAATATGATACGCAATCGTGACCCTTGTATCATACAAATAATAATATAATGCAAATAAACTAATAAAACAGTTTAATGCAAACGAATCCCCATGAGAGAATGAATTCCTATTAATAGTATGGTGCCTTGACGACATCCAAACAACGCAAAAGCTAATTTCGCTAGAAAAAATAAATACATCAGCTGTTGCAAAATCATTGACATCTAGAAATTACATTGATGGTTCTATATTGCATAAAAAATAGAGACATCAATTGAAGCTTTGATCACAAGAGGCCCAAGCATAGTGTCTCGTGATCAACGTTTTAGTGTCCAAGCATGTTTCCATAGTTAGCGGGCATACAAGGACATCGCAGCCACAGAGCATGAGACTGGAGGTATGTTAGCCATGCATTCTATTCACCGCATCTGCACATCATACTCAAATAATCTTTGGATGACATTCAATTTTCTTCCTCGGATCCTTTCGCTGTTGCATCATATGGAGATGGCTGTATGTGGTTTTGCCTCACTGCCTGCGAATCTTGATTGGGAGTCCAAATCACATAGCCTTGGATAGGCACTACCTCGTGTGGGCATCATCATCTGGTTGGAGCTTGCCGGATAACATTGATGGAAAGCGGCAGGTTGGCCGGCTGCCGCTTGTGGATGGAGCCAGGAAAGCATTAGGGTTTCTTTCTGTTTTCTTAGGAGATGGCATCCAAGCTGAACCATTGGCCCTGCAGTTACTATCGGTATACTGGCAAAATGAATGACATTAAAAACAGTAAAATTAAGTCACCTAGTGCCCCTCACAGCGATCACTACTCAGTTGTAGTATAGAAACACCAATAATAGTTCAAATTTATTACGGCTACTAGAGTAATAGAAAAGACCTCCTTCTTAGCTCAAGTCTTCAGGGCTAGCTCCCCACTCGTAGTATTTATATGCGGACCGCAAGTCTTCAAGACTAGCTGGGATAGAAAGACTATATATATGCGGACAGCAAGTCGTTAGGTGGACTGCTTAATTTGTACTAACTACTAACTAATGTGCTCTTGCAATCATTCAGCAAAGCTTCGAGTTTAAAATTTGGACGGCTCTTGATGTACTAACTATCGAGTAAATTAACTCTGTTACGGCTCGATCAACAGAAAGAAAGAAAGGAAGCCAAGAAGGCGGCGGTCATGTCAGTGTTCATGCACGCGGATGCCGTGGACATGGTGCTGATGGCACTGGGCCTGGTGGGTGCCATCGGCGATGGCTTCTCGACACCTATGAAGCTGCTCATCACTGGCTTCATCATCAACGACCTCGGCAGCAGCGGCCCCGACCACCTCCAGGAGTTGAGCTCCAAGATGGACGAGGTACGCATCAACAAATTCTACACACCTGTGCCCATTATTAAACCGTAGCAGCTTTGACGAGCAACTAACAGAACGCGAGGAACCTTGTCTTCTTGGCACTGGGCAGCTGGATCATGGCGTTCCTAGGTGAGTGACGGAGTGTGAATGTGAGACTGAGAATATTTCATTTTATTTGGATGCTGGCGGAGCAAAATCCGTAACTATACTGAATGTGATGTGTGTGCATGGCAGAGGGGTATTGCTGGTCACGGACGGCGGAGCGGCAGGCGTCACGGATGCGTGCACGCTACCTGGCAGCGGTGCTCCGGCAGGACGTGGAGTACTTCGACCTCAAGGTGGGGTTGACGGCAGACGTGATTGCCAGCGTCTGCCGGAATGCAAAATGTGTGCCATGGCTAACCCATTGTGCACGATTAAGAAAAGCGAACAGTCTGCGGGACCAGGCAAACACTTCCTTTGACAAACCCACAGGCGTTAAGTAATGACAACTAACATGATTTTTCTGGGAGAATTGTGAGCATTATTTGGAACACAGTTGAGATAAATGAGTTCTGCTCGATGAAGGAAAACACTGCACACGCTTTGCTAAAACCAACCCGTGTGTGATAAATTGTGACAGCCAGGGGCGGACGAGCAGGGGCCTCCCCCCCACAACGATCGACAATTTTAGCAGGAGCGGCGAGTAATTACCAACGAGATTAGATCAATATACGTACCCCCCCTTCCCCCCTATACTCGAATCCTGGCTCCACCACTGGTGACAGCACACTTGATTATATGGGAAGATATATGTGCTCTAGGGACGCGGCTCTTCTGACATACGGCCCACACACTAACGTGTGGGCCCGGACCCACCCGTCAGCGGCCCAACGGCAGGGGGCCGTACGTCAGGGGATCTGGCTCCGTGCTTTAGTGGGTTCACAATTAAATTAAACAATTGTGTGGGTTGAAGGGAAACAGCCACACAATTCTTTGCAGTGCATCATGTGGAAGTGTCGCACATGGTTTACCATAACCAACAGTGTGAGATGTTCACAATGTCTCGCACGAGTGGTTAAGAATAACCGTGTTTATACGCGTCATCTTGTGCCATGTTCCACCGAGGTATCCACGAACACGCTGATTTCCTTGCCTACCCACCGCACATGCGTCGTGTCCACCCGGGTTCGATGCCACGTCGGTGCCCTCATTTTGCATATAAGTAAAATAAAAAGAATCTTATTATTTGGTTTTTCCGTAACTAGTATAAACTATTTTAATATACAATTTTAAGAAATGCATTTGAGCACCTATCACTCTGTACCAGAAGAAAATGTTTTTCAGTAGGGGCCGAGAAATCTCGAATTTTTCCAAAATGCATATTTTAATGGTAATAGATTATTTTTACGGACTTTGCAATCAAATTTTAACATTTTAATGAACAATTTTAAGAAATGTCATGAACATATTTAAAAGTTGAACAATTTTGAATGACACGATGTATTTTTTTCAATACTATGAATAGTTTTGAAATTGCTTGAACAATGCTTTTACATTTCATGATTACATTTTTAATGGGCAGTAAAAGTTTCTCTAAAATTTATGTAATGTAATATTTGGAAAATAAAGTAAAAATAAATAAAGAATGTAACAAACCATTTAACAATTAATCGGCAGGCCCACTACTGACCCTTTGAGGCAGGGCAATTGTCCGTCTTGCAATAAGCGAGATGTAGACGCATCCGCTGGTGGATGAAGGAAAATGGGCCGCTAAACATCAAGCAGAGTGAAAATGGGTCATCGTCACAATAGCTCTCTACTAATCCCCGAAGAACCTAATCCTGATTTTGATTGAACGGACTTGCTTACCATGAGAAGAACCTGATCCGGAGATATCAGACATGCACCTATATTCCGCGGTCTGCCAGAAGAAAGAAAATTTCATATGTACCATAATCCACTAAAAAAACATATGTGCCATATATGGCGCACGTTAAGTTGATCAAATGATGCTTTTTTTTCTACTTTCAGTTCAAAGGACGATTTTAGTATAAATATCTTTTATGTCAAAAGAATAAATTTCATAACTACCGTGGTTCCGGTTTCATATAACCATAATTTATTTCGCTACAAAACATAACCACAATTTATTGATTTTTCCCCAAAAGGATAAAACTTCCTCCTCCTCGTTTGCCGCTAACCATGTGATCCATCAGATCATCAGTTCATAACCCAGTTTAAGGCTACCTACCATCAGACCATCAGTTCCACCATTTTATTTCACATGTAGAGCGGAGCCTGCTCACCGAGAGACCTGGAGTACCATATGATGGAAGACGTCCATATATACCTTCCTCCTCCTCGTTTGCCGCTAACCATGTGATCCACTACCATGTGTTTTGTCATTATTTTGGTGGCTTGAAAACTACTCATGGAGATGGAAGGTATTGGGAAATTTTTTGATGACACCAAGCCAAGCTCAAGTACTGAGAACCGCCTTGATGGTTTCATCAGGCACACCTGCTTGGCCACTGGATCCATGAGTCCTTCTGTTGTGGCACCTCAAATAGCCACATTAGTGCATTTTTTATATGGGTGGAGTAGTCGCTAGCCATTCATCTCGTTGTTGTCAAGCCGCAGGTAGAGACGTGTACGCATTGTTGGCGCATGCCCAACCTGTTGCATACAGAGCAGTGAGGTTCATCTTGCAAAGCTAGCTCGATCGTCTTCAGTTACGAAGTGACAGCCCTGACTCACATACACAGAGAAGCCGCTTGGGCTAGAAGAGTAAGCGGGCCTAGCCCAACACAAGAAGGGTGGCTAGCCCAACACTAGTTGTTGCCCACCGTGAAGATCATTCTGTGGAGGAGCAGGGCGGCATCACGCACATCACATGCACTAATCTGCGCCACAACGAGCTAGTACTGCATGCCTGCACGGTTGACGGTTGCCACATGAGCTTGCTTGCAAGCCCTCGTCAGTTTCATTTGCTCGTGAGAAAAAAATTAAGAGGATTGTGTGGTCTTTGATAGTTACTACTAATCGTGCATGTTTCTAACACATCAATTAACTTTGCTCATCAAGTCAAAATCCCTCAATTAGACATATAGGAGTTTGTGGAAGTCCAGTTAAAGTTCACTACTTTACTTGCTCTCCGCCTTTGCATTTTTCAGCTATGTGTCTATTGGTGAAAAATGCAGACGCTATAAGAAATATGTCTATTTATGACCAAAATATCATGACGATGGTAGAATAGGTAATAAATATATCACCGATATTTACAATGATAGCCGGGAGTGTCTGTTAGCTAGGGTCCCAACCCTCAAATTTTATGATGGTTTGTATTTAAAAAGTTATATTTTGTTGCACGGAATGGTCACAAAATGTCTTACTATCATTGGTTTGCTCATAATTAACAGTACCGATTCACAATCATCATAAGCCGATTCAAACATTTTTATCAGTTTTCTAAAGTAATAATTCATGAAAAGAAGCAACAGACACAGGATCGTTAATTTACTCGATTGGTCTCCTCGTATAAAAATTGTTGGCCCAGACTAGATGCCAAGTACTTTCTGACGACGGCGACGACCGACCACGAACGACGAAGTAAAGCACTGGATTCCCGATTGATCAAAGCTAGCAAAAATAGCTACGTACGCCGCACGTACCTGCACCGGCCAGAACAGTACAACTCACACACGTACACAACAGCAGGCTGATCGATGTTACTTGATCGAGTTGACTAGCTGGACACACACGAACGCACGCGAGAACTCGCTGGATTGATGGCGCAGGTACGTATCGTACCTGTTGGTTTTCTTTATTGCTTTCGATGATACAAGTTACAAGGGGTGCAGGCTACATATATATACACGCTAGGATCAGCTATAGCAATACTACTCGGTCACGACTTGTACTACTACACGGTCATGACTTCTTGCCATAGTTGGACTCGCATACGCACATGTACCTAGTTCACGTCGGGATTAATTCCAACAATCACCCCCTAATCACGACGTCGTCACATGTACCTTGCTGTAGCCCATACAAGACTTTGTGTAGCTTCAGTACCTTGTGTTCTTCTCCCTCTTTGATGAGCCCCGGTGGCTGGTTCACATAAATGTCTCCTGCTAACTCTCCGTTCAAAAACACAAATTTTACATCCATGTGATGTATCCTCCATGACTCTTGAGCCGCAAGAGCTATGAGTAATCTCACCGATTCCTTCTTTGCAACGGGAACAAACACTTCTTCGAAGTCCACACCTTCCTCTTGCACGTACCCTTGGGCTACTAGCCTCGCTTTGTGCTTCACGGACCCTTCGGCATCTCTCTTGATCATAAATTCCCACTTGAGGTCCATGGCTTTTCCATTGTTGGGAAGATCCACAAGCTCCCATGCATTGTTGTCGTGGATCGACCTCAACTCCTCTTCCATAGTCTGACGCCAACACCACTTCATATTCGCGTCCTCGAAATCCGCCGATTCCTCGGCGCTTGCTAGACACCGCCCTCCACTCCTTTTCACCTTTACTGGGTCAGTCGTCCGAAGAGAATTCTCCGAATATGGGTGTAACACCGGTTGTAGCAATACGGGTGTAGGTGGCGTTGTCCTCTCCTCCTATACTATCGGAGGCGATGCAGGTGCCAACATGGCATCCTTTCCTGCGTGCAAGCATGCAAACAACAGAGCTCCTGATGCATCCTCATACATAGAACGTGGGCATGCATGCATCGCCTTTGGTAGGCCCCGTGGCTTGCTTAGACTGCTGCTGGCCAGGTTGCCAGCACTAACCAATGAGCCAAGCCCGTCACCTCCATGGCCTTTAGACACGCCTTCACTTGAGCCTCCTTCTCCCTCTGGGCCACGCTCAACAGTCTTCACGCCTGAGTTGCAACCTAGTGGAACTTCTCTTGACGAGCCAAATCCATCTGTTCCACCACTTAAGGCTCCTCCACGCAGGCCACCAGCAGCTCCCTCCTGAACTGGGCAGCTGCTGCTGTTCTTCGGCCTGTCTGGCCCATCTCTTGAGCTGCTGCCTTCGGGCCACCCAAATGTAGCACATGTGCCACTGCTAGCTGCTGCGCCCATGTCTACTTTTGCATCAGCATTAATAGGACTACCATCCGTGTCAGTAGCTTCGACACGAGTTTCGGAAATACCCCTCAGGTCTGTAACAAGGCTGCTTCTCCACGGCCGAGCACACGCGGCAATCGCTGCATCCGCTCCAGCGAAGTTAGCACTTATGCCTGTAGCATCGATATAACTTTCGGAATCACCTCCCGCGTCCGTAGCATTGACACGAGTTTTCGAATCATAATCATGAGACTGAATTCTTTCTTCATCGAGCGCGACAATTTCTTTAGCCAACGTTTGAAGAACTGGACCCTCGTCCACGAGTTCACACATCAACATCATGTCACTTTCATCACCAAACTGAGCCATGAGTGCCTTCTCCTTTGGGGGGTTCTTACACTCCGACTTGAAGTGTCCGAGCAGA